GTGCGTGTTATTGTAATAGTAGCATTATTGGATTTTAAAATACATATGAGTAGAATCAAACAGTTCAGGGTTCAGTTATTTTAGGCTTAGTTTAATTTAGTTAACCATCCATACATCCATTGTCTTCTGCTTATCCTTATCAGGGTTGCCAGGGAGCTGGAGCCTATCCCAGCATACGGCAAGAGTTACTCAAACTTCCTGTTTTTAGACTTGATTTTTACTCCAGTGATTCTCACGGTGTAAGAGTTTGACACTCATACCCAATCTGCACAATTTCTATTAATCATAAAAATTGTTGTGTAGTAGTAAAATGTCTATTTTTAAAGTTGGGATTGATTTACTGTCATAATACAAACATTTTGTTTCTTGCCGTTTCTCCCTCTCATGTTAACTTTGGGCAGATACACACTAAAGGCTGTGTGGCTAATCGAATGTAACTTTCAGCGATTAATAATTCAAAAAACGTGAGATAAAATGATCATAATGCAACATTTTGAATTATTATGATGCTCTTGGTTCGTCTTTCAGTGCACCCCTTTCTTAGATGCACTTTCTGCCAGTTTGTAGGAGGTTTGCTTCAGAAATTAATAGTTTCCGTTGAATTATAATTAAGGTACAAAAATCCTCTCTTCCGAGAAAACTTTCAATAAATCTGACTTTTGTTCAATAAATTACTGTTTTTCAAAGTCTGTGAGTTGGCTTCTTCTTTGTCTTTATCTTCTTTTAGCTGCTCGTTGTCACATTAGCACATCATCTGCCTCCATCTCACCCTATCTCTAGCATCCTCCCACATGACACCAACCCTCTGTCCTCCTTCATCCACAAACCTCCTCTCAGGTCTTGCTCTTTTACTCCTGCCTGGCATCTCCATCTTCAACATCCGTTGACAATCATTTCTCTGCACATGTCCAAACCAACTCAACCTTGCCTCTCTAACTTTGTATCCAAACCGCTCAAACAGAACTCTCCATCTAACGTACTTGTTTCTAATCCTGTTCCTCGTTGTCGCTGACAAACAATAATCGTAGCATCTTTAAATCTGCCACCTCCAGATTCACTGCCTTATTGTCAGTGCTTTCCAAAGTCTGTTAGTTAAGAGTTTTACATATTTGCAGTCTCACACACTGGACAGGTCATCAGTCTGTCTGATCCGAGGGTGAATATTAGCTTGCTGTGATGAAATGGTACATGAATGTGTGTGTTGTGTTTTCTTTGTATGATTGTGTATTCTTTACTTACAAAATGAATTAAAACATCTCTGCTCAGGTCATAGAGATAAGTATAAGAGGATGATGGGTGAATGCTTAGATAACGAGCCCATCAGATTTGTGATGATTCTTCTTCTTTCTTTCTTTTACAGAGATTATGAACGATGTTATCAAGAAGGTGAAGAAGAAGGGAGAATGGAAGGTGAGAGGACAGCACTCTGGGTCACGTGTAGGGCTCTGATATACAACAAACAAGATGATTAGAAAGCTTTTATCTAGACTCCGGCTGTAGAACTGACTGCCAGCGGGACCTATTCTTTTTAGTAAAATATAAATATATTATTTTATTCTTATAAATTCTGTTTTACATAGTGTCTCAACCTTTTTTTGGGAATGGGTTGTACCTGTTCATTACTTTAAAAAAAGTGCTAATATAGTCATTGAGCAGTTCTCTTCAAAGAAGCATAACTGGACTTTGCTCTGAATCTGTAGCTTATGTTTCAAAATTAGACCTGAGTCAGTAAAAGAAAGAAAAAAA